ATTTTTGTGTTTTAGTCAATATTTAACCTAAAAAAGCCACATCACAGTAAGAGCAGGTTCAGTCCTACATAATGTCAGTCCTTGTACATCACAGTGTATTTGGGCCTTCCAGAACAAACTGGTCGTCCTGCTCTTATTAAACAGAGCCGTGCTTCATTCAAGCTCATCAGGACATTAGTGGTTGTGTTGTGTGGTACAAGACTCAGTCCATTAGCTGTGTGTATATCAGGGCAAGATGGCTTTTTTTTTCTGTGCAGTGGCAAAAATGCTTAGACGAAGCATCTCCTGCAATGGCTACATGTGTTAGCCTTTTCTAACATGCTTGTAGCATTGCTGTTTTGAAAGGCTTAATAGCGCGCCAAGCCTGTCTGTTTTGCCACAAAATGCATGCACGTGTGTTAATTCACGCAGTTTATGGAGGGAGCCCTTATACTTTCCTGGGATGGATCAGCTCCTTTTTAAGGATGTAGAGGCAGGGAAAGGTAGTGAACTGTACATCCTGCAGATCCCCTGGGCTGGATGTTGTACTCCAGGATATGGAAATGAATTTGAAAATGATGTTAATGTATCATGTATGGCAAGAGCTGTTTCCAATGCCCTTTGTCCTCTTGTTTGTTGGCAGGTATGGTTTCAGTTTCCTAGGACTTGAAAACAATTACATGAAAGTAAAAAACCAGAACAATGAAACGGAAAGGTATGGGTCCTCGCAGCATGGTCACAAACATGGCTCTCACAGGCAGGCTCTGCCAGGCCCAACCACTCCACATACTTTGTTCACCCTCAGCAGAGGAGGATCAAATCCATGCAACATGCTGAAGACAGATCCTAAGCACAGAACATGGGGTGGCTGAGAGAATAAATTGGTGGCAGCTTTTGCTAAAGGCAATATTCATGGCACTGAGGCTCCTTAGAGACTGCATGGTTGAGAGAAGAATGAGTTTGCATAGGCAACAACCTATATCGTGAGATGCATAGCTTTTGCTAATTAACAAACTATGTGAAGCTGCCTTTGTTCCTTTGAAAATAGTCATGTCTTGCACTAGGGAGCGTGAGCGTTTTTGATGTCCATAGATTGTCACGATGCCTCACAGACAGGGACCATGTAGAGGAGCTAGTTTCTCCTGGAAGCCTCGGCCCTGCAGTGTTGAGCCCTTGTGAATATACTCCGATCCTAACCCCTTTTGCATTGAAACTTCTCCCCTGGTCCTGTGGCAGTAGGCCTGCCACATCCCTCTGTCGTGCCTGCTGCTGGGAGGGGAGCCCCAGCTGCTCCTCTGGCTCTTGCCCATACTACCATGTTTCATTTTGGACTTCTGCGTAGCTTGAGTTCCTCTGTTTTATGAGCCGGGATTGACATGGTGAAATGCTGCTCCTAGGACTCGCAAACCAGTTTAGCTGCTTCCATACATTACCTGCAGCTTCTGAGTAATCACATGGCCCAGGGAGGTCCTTACTCACTTCCTTCTAGCTCTGGTGCTGCTAAATCACAGCATACCTCACCTGGGGCATCCAGCTAAGGGACCGTACCTGTTTCTTGGGTGCCAGCCAGCCACGCAGGGTGTGGGCCAGAAGGGCCTGCCACTGAAAACTCTCTAAATGCATATGGATCAGCTTTGATTTTTCAGGCATCTGAAACCTTCGTCATCTTGCGTAAATCTGAAAATGTTTTGTTGAATAGATTTTTGGCTGATCCAAGTTTTTTTCCTTCTCTTAAAAGGTACCAGCTTCTTCACATACTAAATTTTGATCCTGTCCGTCGCCGGATGAGTGTCATTGTCAGAACTATCACAGGTATAGTTGAAAGTCTAGTTTAGATGCATCATATATCAGTTTTTATACATCCTGTCTAGGAGAGAGAAGTTTTGACACATAAATACGTCTGCATGCATTTAGTCTTGTGCTGCCTATGTATAAAGCCTCTGCATTGCAGCCTTGGAAAGGTAACTTGCTATGTTTTGTGAGCCTTAGCTGCATCTGCAAAATTGTCTTTTACACACACAGTCTGAGTCAATAAAATGCTCATTGGTGCATGCAAATCTGACCTGGAAGCCACCGCCTTGTTGAATTGCAATCTCTATCTTGAAAGCCTGTTGGCACTAGCATTTTTCAAAGAAAAGTTGGTGAACCTTTTTTTAGCGTAAGTAAAACAACTAATTTTTCCTTCCATTTCTCAGAAATGATTGAATTCACCTGGCTGCAATGTTAAAAAAAGAAAAGAAAAATCTCCCCTCTGGCTGACACTCATGTCTGATACTTCAGCCTGATTGGCTAAAGTTTGGCAAAATTACAAGCAAGTGAGAACAGAAGTCTTGGGCACCCTGACTAGAACTTCCTTTGCAATCCGAGTCCTTCCTTTGCATCAAAGACTTGATGTATATCAGACCAATGGTCTTTACATCTTCCTCCAGGTTTGGCATACTCTGATCTTTTTTTAATTCGGTTTTAGGGAAGCTGCTCCTCTTCTGTAAAGGAGCCGACTCGTCTATTTTTCCAAGAGTGCAGCAAGATGAAATACAACAAACTAAAGTGCATGTGGATCGTAATGCCATGGTAAGAACGCACCTGGAACTGGTTTTGATCTTGGGTCAGCAAAAGCTATTCCCAAGACCAGGATCCAGCCTTAGCTTGGGGGAAAAGAGTGTAGGAAATACAAGTTTTATTTCCGTTCTCTTTGAAGTCTAGGGTGGGGACTCTTTTTTTTTTCCCCTGTTCCTTTGGCTTCCAAGTTCTTTTAACTTCTGATCTACCTATATGGGCCTGATCACTGTTGCATCTCAGCATCTCCCAAGTGGTCAAAAATAGACGTAGCAAAAACACTCTTTCTTTTTTCCCCCCTCTTTAGCCTGGTAAGAGAAGTCCTTGAATCAGTTTATAGTTTTGTTTTCCATGTGTGGTGTGTGGTGCAGGAGGAAGACCAATATACAGATATTCATAACCAGAAAATGGATGCTATCCTCACCACTCGGGGAGCTAAGTCTAAACTTTTTTTTCTGAGTTCAGCTTTCCCTAGTAAATTACTGCACTTAAACACGCATGTAGACAAAGATGTTGGGGTTAGTTTACTCTGGCTCAAATTCAGCTGGAGTATATTTAGTCACATTCATTTAATGTGTAGATGTACCCAGTGTCACCTGTCCTGGTTTAACCATATGTGAGGAGGTTCATATATCAACCTGGCTGTACAAACCAAGAGGAAATGGTCCCTTTGCTGAAAATGTCAGATTGTTTTTAACATTAGGTCCAGTACTGGCAGGTATTAGGTGCCCCGTAGAGACCAACACAAAAATCCTGAAGTAGAGAGCTGTGGAAGAGACAGTTTTGCAGCACTTCACCATTTCTCTGTTTTAAGGATGGGTATCGAACACTTTGCGTGGCCTTTAAAGAATTCTCTCAAGAGGAGTATGATCAAATCGATAAGCAGCTTTGTGAAGCTAAAATGGCTCTCCAGGACAGAGAAGAGAAGATGGCGAAGGTTTTTGAAGACATAGAAGCCAACATGCATTTGATTGGGGCCACCGCAGTGGAAGACAAGTAAGAGAGCAACAAGCAAACAGAGTAAATACTAGTTGCACCATTTTGCTGATTTGTGATCTGGACTTTCACCGTGACCTCCCTCTGCAGTGCAGGGCACATTACTTAACCTCTCTGCCTTTGGTTTCACAATTGTAAAACGAGAGTGTCTGCTTGCTGCAGAGGGCTGTGTGGATGAAATGTCTAATGTTTATAAAACCCATGCCGTGATGAGAAGCACAGATATAAAGTAGTATTCTTTTGGGTTCCTTCCCAAAGCCCTCTTACGTTAGCAAAACTCTGGCCAAGCTTTATTTTGTACATCCATTTACATTGCCACAGGGTTTCTTTCTGCCTGAGTATTATCTGACAGCCGCTTTGCTATTATTTTCCACTGATGGTGCTAACCTACAGATGTTGGAAGTGAAATGCATATTTTTTTTTACCAGTTTGTTTTCAGAGTGAATTATCATCAGTCTGCCACTGTCACCAAATGTAGCTCTTTGTCCTTCTCTAGTGGCAAGAGCTTAAATAGCAGTTTGAGTCTATTTCCTTTGAGTTCATCAGTTCAGGCCTATATTTTTTAAAATGCATATAGGCATCTTGTTTAGAAGGAGAAAGAAATAGTTGGTGGAATTTTAAAAGTAGTGAGGCTAGTATTCATTTGTCTCTTCTGGGTGTGTGATGTATACATAGAGATATGCAAAGTGCTTGGGTCAGCTGCAATGTCTTTTATTACACCAACTTGTACTGCTGGCCGTCTTGTATTGATGGGTGTTTCATGCCTGCATGCATTTAAAAGCCTGGGTCATTGCTCTATAGCTGAGACGGCAGCAGCTGGTGTGCTTTGATGGACAGCCTTTAGGTTCAGTCCCCCAAAAGCATCAATATGCATGTTGCACCGAGTGAAAAATTCAAAGCAAAGTGCTATCTTGTGGGCAAACCAGAGGGTAACCTGTTGTTGTTTCAATGTACAGACTCCAGGAACAGGCAGCAGAAACCATTGAGGCCCTGCATGCGGCCGGCATGAAGGTTTGGGTGCTTACTGGGGACAAGATGGAGACGGCAAAATCCACCTGCTATGCCTGCCGGCTGTTCCAGACCAACACTGAGCTGCTGGAGCTGACCACCAAAGTGGTGGGGGATAGTGAGAGGAAAGAGGACCGGCTACATGAGCTATTGATGGAATATCGTAAAAAACTGCTGCAGGAGTTTCCCAAAAATAGTGGAGGCCTTAAAAGGTGAGATGGGGGGAAAGAGAGAGAGAAGTAATAGGCACTTTCTGCAGAGCTGCCCTGGAGGCAGAGACCAACCAGGAAGGGAAAGAGTTAGCCTCAATCCTGCATCCTTATAGAGGCAGCTGGAGAAGTCTTGCCACAAATGAGACTTCTTTGTGAGTGACGGTATCTGCCCCTTCTTATCACTGCAGGGTTGGGTCCTTACTGCCCATATGGGGGACCCTGCTCTCTCCTGTCCCACATCCATTCAGAGTTCATCTGTTTCTCAGTTATTGCGTTTCAAACACAAGCATGCAAACCTCTCAGGGAAATCCCAGTTTTCCTTTTCAGTCCAAGCCAGTTGAGTTCATTGAGCCCCAAGAAAGTGAGGTTTTTTTTTTAGTTTAAGAACCATTTATTTTTGTGCTCAGATGACACAAATTGACTTCTTGAAAACTTACAGCTCAGAGCATCACCTCTGTTTCCATCTGCATTTTAGGAGCTGGGTGTTGAACCAAGAGTACGGCCTCATCATAGATGGCTCAACATTGTCACTAATTTTAAATCCGTCTCAGGATTCTAGTTCCAGTAATTACAAGACCATTTTCCTACAGATTTGCTTGAAGTGTACTGCAGTGCTGTGTTGTCGCATGGCTCCTTTACAGAAAGCACAGGTACGTACTCCATGGACCCTTTTGTAGGCAGCTTGGCACATTACTTACAAAACACTTAATAAGATAAAGCAGCTAAGGAGTTATAATCCCTTGCCCCAGACTTTGAGCCCAGCGTGTATAGCAGTTGACTCCACCTCCCCTGTTTAGTCATCTGTATCAAGTGTTCTGGGTTTTTGTCATGGGTATGAACACCTCTTCTACTGACTGTCCGTCAAGAGGGAGTTTTGCTCCTTGACTTGGGTGTGAGCTAGGCAGCAAGGCTTTTGGTGGCTGCTAAAGGTTCCCACAGGAAGCAAAATACGCTGTTGCTTTTTGTATGGGAACAAGGGTTCAGTACTTCCATATGGAGTACTGAAGGACTGGAGAGGTTTGGTTTTGTTTGTTTTATGTAAAACCGTAAAATGGAAAAACCTGTCACAACGGCTGGGTTGCTGGCAGGTGCCATTTGATTTTCTTTATCCATGGGGAGTGTCCCCAGAAGCATTTCAGCAAGTTTTTCAGGCCCTCTGATTATTTCAGCTTCAGAGCACTAAGAAACATGATCAGATTTGTCTCTGCCCAGTCAATAAACAGCAGCCCTTGCTTCTGGTTCAGTACAAGCCTTTTACATATGTTGGTTTCTTTGTTCCAGTCTTGTCTTTCAGTGATGAATTTTTAAAGGTTTGTTTTTTTTTTTAATTTGGGTTTAGGAAACAGTTAAGTACACATAGCTTATAAATAAACAGATGCATGAGTCTGCCCCTTTCATTCTGGTCCAAGATCTGAGGGTGGGAATCCATGACTTCCCCTTCACCAGCGGTAATGGCAATAGTGTGAAAAACAACGTGTCTAGCCCAGCTCCAGGTACAGAGGATGTGACCAACTGCTGTGTGATTTATTGTCACATTGAACACTTAGGAATTATGTCCTTGTACGTAGAGCAGAATTGAGCTCGAGGCTTCAAAAGTGCTGAAATTTACTGTAAATTTTGTCTTTTCTGCCTTGCAGTGTTAGGGGGTTGACAAATGACAGCAAATTCCAAAGAGGTGGTGCATGTTGGCTGCTCTGGGACTGCCCATGAGCCTGCTCTTACCTTGTAGTTTGCAAAAGCCAAACCTCAGCCTGGCTTAATTAAGGAGTAAACTGCCCTGCTTTAGCTCTCTCTTATTTTAGGGTTAGTTTGGACACACGGACTTTTCCCATGGAGCAGCTGAGATGTTGCGGTTCCCCACCCTCTAATCGGTTCACATGTTCATCCTTGTAATGCTGACTCCTGCTTGTGAAACTCCGGATGGATTCAGTGCATTTTTTCATGCCTGTCTCTTAAAAAGCTTAAAAAGTGTGGGGGGGAGAAGAGATTCTGCAGTTCCTCTGGCCATAGGTTGATGATGTAGACTTGTCCTGGGTCTGGTTGGGCTGGCTTCTTAGTGTCCACCCTGCGCGAATGAGTTTGGGTTGCTACATTGAAATGATGCCCAGTGTATTTCATCCTCCTGGAGGAAGCTGGCAAGTCTGCAGACTCCTGGCAGTAGCTGCTTGTGCTGAATTATTATTCAAGGTTGTTTAGAAAGGCTAAGTTACAATGTTCTGTGAACCCAAGTTCCCTGGGTCTGCAGAGTCCAGGGTGTCACCCAGAAGTTAGGCACCTGCTGGGGCAACTTGGTAGAGTGGTGAAGGTGCATTGCTATGTTCATGCCAAAGACTGCACCCACCTGTAAATAGGTGCCTTGACATTTGGACTGCAGAGTGAGAAGTGCCACTGATTGTAGGAGCTGGCATGCCTTAGCCATATTAAACTGGAGGGCTCTTTGGCTAGGATAAACCATTGACTTGAGCCTATACCTTGAGAAACAGGGTATATGTATATGTCTTATGTGACATTGCATGCACTGATTGTTGGGATGCTTGCACTGACCTGTGTTGTATTTACTTCCTTAGATTGTCAGGATGGTAAAGAGCACCAAGGGCAGTCCAATAACACTATCAATAGGAGATGGCGCCAATGATGTTAGCATGATTTTGGAAGCGCATGTTGGAATCGGTAAGGAGAGATCTGGAGGTATCTAGCTTTTGTACAGGATTTTCCATTACCTGCTCTCTTTTTCAAAGCACTCTAAACTGAGTGGCATTTCCATTTTGCACGTGTGGAAACTGTGAGGCATGGGTAGATGAAGTAATTGCTGGGAAGTGACCGTGGACAGATCAGAGCAGGCTCAGAATCCAACCCAACTCTGCTGGGCCCCAAGTTTTCTTGACCCATGGGGAGTGTTCTGGCCACTCAGCCACACATCCAGCCAGCTTCTAATCTAAGTAAAAATCATTGCAAATTATATAAATTAAATAGCATTTACTGTGGCCTTTAAGGTGTTTGCAGTCAGCAAGCATGCGTGGAAAGAAGGTCAATTAACAAAAACACCTGGCTTCTCTAGTTGATACAGGAGATCTCAGGCCCATTTTCAGATTTGATATGGGTATTTAAGTTCCTTTTGAAAATAGGTCTTAGGCACTTTTGAAAATTTCACTCTTGGTCTGGTAGACATTGTTTGCAGACTCATCTCTTCAAGAGATACTTGGGGAGGGGAGAGTGGGGGTGTTAACACTTGTATACATGTCACCAAAGTGAGCTCAGCTGTTCAAGCCTGGCAGGGAGGGAATATAGCCCACAACCTAACGAAAGTATGAAACAAATCACCCACCCCTCTTTACTGTACCTTCCTCTTGCTTTTCTGGTTATACCTGACTCTTGCCTTGTTCAGCCCCCATTGAAGTCGATGGAGATTTTCTCTTGTCATCCTTGGAAACAAGCCTGGGGATTCAACCTGATTCAAACCATTCTGAATCAAGAGTGCAACTTTCTTCTCTCCTTCTCACCAGTAGCTGTGGCCTTGAGATTGCCACTGATTTGCGCTGGCGTATTCTTGCTGAGCTCAAATTGGCCCATATTTTTGAACCAGATGTCTGCTTTGCAGTTTTGCTGATCCCAGCTGGTTGTAATTCACCACTGAGGATTGAAATGTTTAGTACCTAAAGGTTCATTTTCAGTCATGGGACATGCCTGTCCCTTCTTTCTGACTGATTTCAGACTGGAAACTATTAAAAAAAATTCTTTATAGCTGCCAGAGGCAGTGGAAATATTAAAGATGGCTTCTCATGTGTCGCCAAGGAGGAAGAAACAGCAGCTTCCTTACTGGCAATTGCAGTGTCTTGTTATGCTTCAGTGAAAGGCATTCCTTGTAATAATGCACTGAGCATGTCTCACAGTGCAACAAAACTGGTTGTCTTGGGCTTTGCTCTGTGAGGTGATGGCATTAGTGGTCTAAATATCTGGAGCAAAACAAGGAAACTATGTAGAATCACAGGGTTGAGTGCTGGCCAGACTGACCCAGCTTGATTGTTTTCCAATAAGCTGCATTCCCCAAGCTCACTTTTTGAGAGCCTCTTGGATAAGAGCTCAGAAACAGAGGGCTGCTGAGCCAAGACAAAGAGGATCCATGGAGTATTAGTCTCATCACCTTCTGGCCACTGCCCTCCACCCACTGTTGCTGTGAAGCAAGAAGAGACTTGGAGTGAGAGGGGTGGTGGTGACATGTCAGATGTCACTGGATCAGAAAGCCTTCATTCCTGGGATTTTGTTGTAGCTTGAATGGTTAAGATGTCTTAGCCACTGTTATAGACATCCCAAATCTAAGTTCCAGTATACGGATAAATCACTCACCGTATGTATGTCCTGTCCAGGTATAAAAGGCAAAGAAGGTCGCCAAGCTTCAAGAAACAGTGACTATGCTGTTCCGAAATTTAAGCATTTAAGAAAACTACTACTAGCACACGGGCATTTATATTATGTGAGAATTGCACACCTTGTACAGTATTTCTTCTATAAGGTAAGGATTTGCATTCATCTGACACAATTCATGTTTTTTTTGCCATTGACAATAAAGTCCATTAAAGTTTTTTTTTTTCCCTAAATCAGTTGATTTTCTCTACCTGTCTGTAAATTAGCTAGATCAGCATGGTGTTGTACGTTTGCAAGTTGTATACAGCCTGTTAACATTTTGGTCCAGGTCTCTGTTCCTGCAACTAAATATTAAAGCCTGATGCTAAAATGGTGAATGCCAGACCTGGTAAGTCAGTAAACTGAATACATTCAGTTTGGTTTTTATTTCCAGCAGTCAGATCAATATTGAGTACATCAAATGTTTCTCGACTAGCATCTCTCTCTCTCTCTCTCATTTTTTTCTAGAACCTTTGCTTCATTTTACCACAGTTTTTGTACCAGTTTTTCTGTGGATTCTCACAACAGGTAAGTTCCCACAGTGAGTTTATAAAGAGACAGCCCAAAATCTGTCATAGGATCAAGCTCCAAAAAAAAAAGACATTGGTTTGATTATCCTGTTGGTAACCTGTTGGCTTTTGATGGATAACAAGCCATTTCTATTAAAGTCGCCAGTAGAAACTAGCTTAGTTGCTAAGCAATAGATTCTGGAGGTTGAAGTCATTAAAGGAAGATCCTTATGATCCTTCCTTTTGTTTTCATCACCAAAGCACAGATGGCACTCTTCCAGACTAACAAGAGACTTTTATCAGCAGTGTTGTCATTAACTCATTTGGAGAATGCTTCTCCTACAAGATCACAGCTGCTCCATTTGCCTCCTTGTCCTGAAAGGTTCGCTCACAGATTTAGGTAGAGAAGCTGAATTTTCCAACATAACTTTTAAAAGAACGAGGTGATGAAATGAGATCCCAGGTGTAGCCATGGGCATGTCTGTTGTCCAGAACATTGTGACAGGTGGGCAGATGGGGCCATCAAAACAAAATGGTCTCGAGACAGCCCAAGGTCTTTGGTTTGTGCTTTGGTTTCCTGTCTCTCCATTGCCCTAGGAGCTGTCAGGAGACAGAACAAAGCATTTGGGCAATTAGGAAATGACTTCCATGGAGATGAAAGGCAGCTTTTCTCAGTCAGAGCCCATGTATAAGTTGGGATCTCTCAGAGAGCAAGGGCTAAGGACAAACTTCAAATGAGCCTGCTCTTAAAGTGGCATCAGAGGCCACTTTAAGAGCAGAACTTTATTAATAGTACTATCCATAAGGTAGCTTTATTAATTAGGTAGTACTATCCATAAGGTGGCTTTATTATTAAGAACTTTATTAATAGTACTATCCATAAGATAGCAGCTGGTGGAAAGGTAGGCAGTGACAGTCACTGCTGTGGAATCCCTTTGCTCCCCTGCCTTGCCAGGCTGCAATCCTGAACCAGTGAATCCAGGATTTAAACAGACTGCTTGCATTTCACTATTCTGATGACCTAAACTAGCCTTTACTTATAACCAAATGAGATCTGTTTACTGCACAAGGTTACTGTTCTCTGTGGCCCTGCTGAACCTGAGCACGAGGACCTGGAAAAGCATGAAAGAAGCTGATAGAATGTATTGCACAGTACAGAACATGCCTGCTCAGTTCAGCCACTACCAAAATGAGATCCTTGTAACAAACCTGTTAATAAAAACAGCCATAGCCACATTCCTCTTAAATGTCTTTTTAAGTTGCTTTTGCAATGCACGTGCTGGCTTCTATATGAGAGAGTCCAAGGGAGAGTGCCAGAGGGGTTTCATTATTGGCAAGGACCTTAATTTAATTTTGCAATCAGAAGATATTGGGCAGTCTGATCCTCCAGCTGTTGAACTGGCTGGGAATGTAGTTGCTGACTCCAGCAGGAGCACAAGAAGCCTTTTGTCATTAACTTGTCACAGAATCATAGGAAGTTAGGGCTGAAAGAGACCTCAGGAGGTCATATCTAGTCCGATCCCCTGCTCAAAGCAGGACCAGCCCCAACTACATCATGCTAGCCAAGGCTTTGTCTAGTCAGGGCTTCAAAAACTCCCAAGGATGGAAACTGCACCACCTCTCTGGGTAACCTGTTCCAGTGCTTCGCTACCCTCCTAGTGAGAACACTCTTCCTAATATCTAACCTAAACTTCCCTTGCTGCAACTTAAGCCCATTGCTCCTTTCCTGTCATCTGTCACCATTGAGAGCAGTCCAACCCCATCCTCTTTCGACCAGCCCTTCGGGTACTTGAAGGCTGTTGTTAAATCCCTTTTCAATCGTCTCTTCTCCAGACTAAATAAGCCCAGTTCCCTCAGCCTCTCCTAAGTCATGTCCCCCAGCCCCTGAACCATTTTTGTTGCCTTCCACTGGACTCTCTCCAATTTGTCCACATCCTTTTTGTAGTGGGCGGCCCAAAACTGGTCACAGGACTCCAGATGTGGTCTCCCCAGTGCAGAATAGAGGGGAAGAATCAGTTCTCTCGATCTGTTGGCAACCCTCCTACAAGTGCAGCCCAGGATGCCCTTAGCCTTCTTGGTAACAAAGGC